TGAACCCTGGAATGAATACCTCTGGCTTTTCCATTCCTATATGTTCCTGTTTCAACCCCAAAATAATCCCTACATACGCCACACTCAACCTTTAAGCCTGTCCTTAATGATAATGAAGGTGCTTTGGTAACCCCAACCGCCAAAAGTAGGACCCTATAACAGTCACATGATGTGTATAGGGTCCTACTTTCGGGGGGTTGGGGCTACCAAAATCCCTAAACCTTAATTCCTCAACCCTAGTCTCCAATCCCTAAACCCTAGACCCTAATCCCTAAACCCTAGACCCCAATCCCTAAATCCCTAAACTCAAAACCCTAATCCCTAAACCCTAATCCCTAAGCCCCAGACCTGTAATCCCTAAACCCTACTCCCCAAACCCTAAAGCTTATTAAACGAAGGCCACTGTTCTTTGGCTTTTGCCTGACCTCTCTTCTGGCCGTGCTGCTGCCAGCAGGAGGCTGCCTTTCCACGCTATTTAGGGTTTAGGGTTTAGGGTTGAGGGTTTAGGTATTGGCAAGTTTACCCTACAATTCCCTATTAGGACCCTATTAAGGGTAGATTAAGGTACCCTCAAGATCTAATAGCCCATAGTGGTTAAGTCTGAGTTGAATGTTTCTGAAGGAACCCTTGGATCGCTCCTCTGGGTTTGGGATTGAGGGGTTTGGGTTATGGGTTCGGGATTAAGGGTTGAGGGGTTTAGGGGCTAAGGGTTTAGGAGTTAGGGGGTTAGGGTTTAGGGGTCTTCGTATTGGTCGTTCTCGCGCGTCATTGTTGGACAAGTTCGCGCGCTCCCGGCTTCAAAGCCTGTAGCTTAGCTGTTGTTACCCAAATATCAGGTACCTATAGTTGTTAGGTACCTGCACTGTTCGCTTGTAGAGGTTGAGAGCATTCTGCAGGGCTCGTTTGGAGAAATCCGCGTTTGGGTTGAGCAGGTGTAGATTCAATGGTTCCCTAAACCCTATAATCCCTAAACCCCAAACCCTAATCTTATTCCCTAAACTTCAAACATCAAACCCTAAACCCTAATCCGTAAACCCGAAACCCTAATCTTTATCCCTAAACCTCAAACCCTAATCCCTAAACCAGACACCCGAAACCTTTGGAAGTTTGGGCTTGGGGATTACGTTTCAAGTGCTGAGCAAGAATCTAGCGATATGCCCGGTGTCTTTTGCTCCTGTGCTCCATACACTTACAGAGGCACATAGGAGCCATAGTCTAAACTCCCTAAAGGGGGATTATATGGGGTTTAGGCTTTAGGGTCTAAACTCCTAAAAGGGTGGTTATATAAATAAGCTTCCGTCAGGGCCCTATTATAGGGATTATTAAAGGGTATGCTAGGAGTTCGGACTGCTGCTCATATGAGGTTCCATGGTTGGGGCGTGGCATTTTGTGCTTACGACTTGGGATTCCTTCAGGCATTTGGCACGGACCATTTGTCTGCCCTCGATGAATACAAGAGGTAGTGTTAGGATTATATTGAGATGATGGGAAATAAGATGGAAACTACTATAGTATATTGGGAGTATACAGGAATAACGCAAGAGAAAATGGAAGCTACTAAAGTGTTCCGTACACCGAGAATAAGGCAGGTGTCTAGTGTTTCAAAGGGACTGGTGTGCTTTGCATGTTCTAGGGTTCATTTAGGTTGGTAGGACAAAGCATAAGACCCCACTTCCTGCGCAGTTAACCCTAGACACTATGCAAACACTCAAGCCATCTGGCATTAGAAGGCTGCATACTCAGAACGACTCACCCCTGCATGCCATAAGCCCCAAAAGGTCCTGTTCTGGAATAGGTCCCGACAATTTGCATCATGAAGGAAATTTTGGGAAATATGCGCAATGGTTGGGTTCCCCTATATCGCCTTGAAGTGCTACAATCCTTCTTGCAAGAAGTTCCCTAGCCCATTTATCTGGACCTTACCGCGGATACTAAAACTTCTGCATGAATCCTGGTGTCTATCCATACATATATACATATAGATATAGGGTTCCTGCAACGTATGGGTGACTGTACACTCTGGATGTCCAGCGCCGGAGGCCATAATTGCACACCATGGGTCAAGTACCTTAGACCTGAGAATTGGCATCTGGTAACCCAGACCCCTGATTAATAAACCCCCTCCCCTTCATGGGGATTGCAATAAGGATCCTAATATTAAGGCGCTCAAACGGAGCAGGTTTATGAATCATGGGTCTACGTTATACTACTGGCATGCAGGCGTTTTTGTAGTTTAGAACACTGACTAGGGAACAAATGCACACACTTTGGGTCAAGAAAATCAACAACGATGAATAGCAGCCGTTTTGTGTTGTTCGGAGCCTTGCCACAAGGGTCCAACATACGCAATTATCATATAGTCCCCAAACCTAGATACTTAACTTGAGTTACAGTGGCCAGGAATGAAGAAACAAATCCTTATACAAGGTAAGAATAACGGCTTCTGGCATATGAATTCCATGGTAAATGGATCCTAAACCCTAATTCCTAATCCCCCAAACCCTAAACCCTAAACCCTAGCATAAGGATCCCATGGTAAAGAAAGGATCCTAAAACCCAGGGCCGCAACCCTAGGGCTCGAATGCAGGACCCTAAGCCCTAATCCCTGGGTTTAGGGCTTAGGGTTTAGGGTAAGCCCTGAACTTATGAACCTTGAGCCCTAAATCTACACCCCAACACCTTTAAAGCCTGTAAACTCCAAACCCTAAAACCTTGAGCCCTAAATCCTGCAAACTCTGAACTATTTCAGGCCTCGCTGTTTCTTCTGCCCTGGGGGGCCTGGCGGGGCGTGCCGCCACTCTTGCGGCAGCGCTGCCTCTGCAGTTTTGACGCTCCGGCTTGAAATCGAAGGATTCTGGATTAGGGTTTATTATGGGGTTTGGGTTTTAGGGTTTGGGAATCCAGGCCCTGAACCCTAAACCTTAAACCCCAAACCCGGTTTGTAGAGCTTAGGGTTAGGATTGCATTGTTGCTACAGGGCAAGGCCTGGTAGTGCGGGAGCTTTTAGGGGCCAACAAGCTTCAAATAGGGATAATGGAAAAGGAAAT